TTGCTTCTTCACATGGGCTTTGGAGGACGGTATGGGGCAGCACCCACAGGTCCAAATAGGGGTGGAGGTGTGCAATCCTTCCAAGCTTCAAGAGATTCTTAACCACCTTGCTGTAAATGGCACAACTCACTCAGTACTGTAGTTTCACATGCAGCTTGGGAAGCACATTGGTATCAAAGGTGCTCCCTTCGGATATATCCCTGACAGCTCTGGCCTCCACTATGTTTCAAATGATGAGCTTCTTGGTGGCCTTGTTCTGGGCACACACCAGGCACAGTTGGTGCAGCAAAGAGGCTGCACATGACTGCCGCCCTTTCCTAAATGACCAGTTTCCTCTTTTCTCGGTCCTCTTGGAAGCAAGAACCCAAGAATTAGTGATCCATCCTTAATTGATATTTCCAGAAAAACTTTGTGAAAGGTGGACTTTCTGAGACCTCCAGGTCTGAACACGTCTTTGTCTGGGTAGTAGCTTGGTGGGCATAGTATTCTGAGCCTCAGAACTCTGAGGGCAGAGCTCCACTATCCACTGGCACTGACTGTTAAAAGCAGGTGCCAATCGGATTTTTGTTCAGTTGTAGATAACCTGTTTCTTTGGTCTCTGGAAGCTTTCAGAATCTTCTTTTTTTCTTTTTAAAGATATTTATTTATGTATAGAAGAACTGGGGTACAGGCCAGAGGTACAGGGGTTGGGGGGGGTGAGAGGATTCACCAGAGACAGAGCAGGGAACAGGCAGACTGACTGAAATACGCTGCTGAGGGGAGCAGCAGGCGAGACAGAAGAAGGTCTGCTGTGCCATGTGGGTAGCTCCCTGGCTGGCCAGGGGATTGAATTCTTGAGCAGAGGCTGTGGATAGCTTCACAGTGCTGTGCTTAACCCCTTGCACCACCTGGGAGGCCCCAAGATCTTCTCTTGGTATTTTATATGCTATATAAGCCCAAGGTTATGGTCAAGTATGGGGTTTTTTTTATTTAGTATGTTTTGTACTCAGTAAGCACTTCCAGTCTAAAGACTCCCATTTTACTTTAATTCTAGGAAATTTTCCTCTATTATTTCTCCATTAATTTCTCCTCTGCATTGTCTGTTTCCTATTAACTGTCAATTAAATATCCCTCCTGGATTCATCCTATATCATCTTTGAACATTTAAAAATATTTCTTTTCTGTTGCCTTTTTGCTTCACACTTTGGGAGATTCCAGTGACATTTTCTTTCAGTCCTAGCGCCGATTTTTTTTTTTAAGAATTATATTTTTCATTTCAATAATAACTTTTGTCTGATTGTTCCTAATACACACACAAACACGTGTCAACTTGTTTTATGGGTACAATAGCTTCTCAAATTTTCCTAGGGACACAAATTAGAACACACACATAATAAATTATTTTATATTCCTGGAATGATCTGTTTCCTATGAGGGAGGTCAGCTTAAAAAAATAGATTTTCTAAAAAATATTAAATATATATCTTCTTTTGGTTATTTTTCAACTAAATAAAACAAAAATAAATGTCAGGAAAATTGTGTATCCTTTTCCCATAGTAGAATCATGGTTTCTAAACATTCTATTACAGAAAGTTTCAGGGATACAAAAAGTAAACAAAGTATAATGAACTCCATGTACCCTTTACCCAGCTTCAATATCAACATTCTGCCATTCATTTTTCACTGACACCTCCACCTACTCCTGTAAAATTTGTAATTACATCATTAACTAACCTTTCATAGTGAGTTGGTCATTTGAATTTATTTTTCACTTAGTAAGCTATCCTGTTAGATCATATCATATACTTTTTCATAAAACAATTAATAGTGGATAGCAGTATTAAATATTATAACAACACAAAAACCCAACCATTTACAATGCCCATGCTTTGCACACACTGGTTCGTTTAAGATGATCAGTAATGCAAGCAACTGCTTTTTAATCTGCAAAAGATGTAGAGATGCTTTTTGTTGAAGGATTAGAAAAGGCATTCAATATTAAACCAATGCGTGGAGAAGGACATTTTCTGTAAAGCAGAGCATGTTTTCACAACAATGTTTGTCAGATGCAATAAAATGCCAATACAAATACAGCTCCTGCTTGTTGGGAAGGACTAATGCTAAGGAAATTTTACTATCTGTTCTCTGAGAACAAACGGCCTTTCAGCGACTCAGTGCCAAAGCTCTATCAGTTACAACACCAAGTTATAAATAAGATGCTGCTCTAAAAACAGAAATTCTTTTGTCTTTATGCATGATTCTAAAATTTGGAAATAAACAAAAAGTTTAGCAAAATAGAAAGTAGAAAATAGATTGATTATTGGAGAGTATACTCAACCAGCAGCCCACAACTGTTTCTCTCATTCTGCCTCATTGAACTTTGTGAAGTTCCCCCACCTTTCACTGTGGTGTTGGTACTGGCTGATGGAGATGGTGGACACTTGTATCTACGTGCTGTTTGATAGCTTTTTGACCATTGGCAAATTAATTTCTTTAAACCTTAGTTTATTTACAAAATTAGAAAAACAGTATCTCCTTTTTAGGGTATGTATGAAGATTAAAAAATAAATGACATTGAGCAAGTAGTACAGGTTCTACAACTCCAGTATGTATAAACAATCTTTGTTGTTTTTTCAGGATTCAAAGGTATCTCCTGTCAGGCAGGTAGCAAGATACAGCTAGTATCCTGGGTTTAACTTTGAATTTCTGATCAACAAGAATCATTTTTTAACCTAAGTATGTCTCAAGTATTATATGGAATATATTTGAGTATCTATTGTCTATATGAAATTCAAATTTAAGTGCATATCTGTATTTCAACTGGCAAAATAACTTTTAAAAGTGAACTGAGCTTTGGCAAAGTAAAATAAACCTGCAGAGGAAACATTGTGACTAAATTTGATAATTTATCTTGGTGGACTGATATCCCCCCATACACTCAGTATTCTCTCTTCCAGGTGATGCTCAAGTTATCGGATCTGAGAAGCAGGTAATTCCTATGAAGTAGGATGTCAAAGATTCCCCAAACTGAAGTCTATTGGATCTACACTTGATCTTAGCCAAAAGGCTGAGAAGTGATGAGGTCTATTGGATCTAGTTATTATTTTAAACTAGGTGTAGGTTTTGAAGTTACTTACTGAATTATGTTTGTATTTAAGTTTCTTATTTGGAAAACTACAAAGCACTATATAGGAAAGCAGCAAATATGACCACTGGAAAATACAAATTGTAAATCTCTGACAGCATTCAATTTATTTGAAACATTATCTCACGATGTTCTTGTTTACCATGGTTTCTTGGGTGTGCCAGGTATTTATTTCTCAGTATTTGTAATTAGTGTGCGCGCACACACGAAAGCAAAAGGGTTCATATCTTCTTCTTACTCAAACTGATGAAACTGGTGAAGCTGTCTGCTTCACCAGTACTTTCACTCTCCTCTAATTTGTAGTTTTATTTTTAATGAGAAAAATTAGTTAACTACTTCCATTCCTCAGTTCTGCGTCAGCCTTGTTCATAAACTAAAAAAAAATACATTCGACTGTTCGCATGGCTTTCATGCCAAATTTTACAAAACACTTCTACAGATAATTCGATGTCAGTGTCCTCAAGAGTAACAGGCTTTCTGTTGTCATTCCCAAAGTTATAATTATAAATTTACCTTCCTTAAATACAGGGAGAAGGCCACTTGAGAGCGATAACTTCTCCTATCTCTTTTCCAATCGTGAAAGACATAATTCATAATTCCTTGCTTTGATAAGTGAGCAAATGAGAAATGTTACAATTGCAATATCTACGTACTCCTTTAAAAGCATTTGCAGGTTGTTTAGACTTTCAGATGGATTACAATTCACCAGTCCGAGTAGTAATGTGTGTGCTACATCTCTTCATTCATGATTTTATTTGCTAATAAAACAGAGGCACTGTTCCACTGCTATTTTTTTCTAAAAACAACGCACTTTCCGCCCCAGCTCGAATCCACTGAAGCCTTTCCAACTTGCTCGGCCGTCGCAGGCGCGCTGAACTCTTCAGCTCCATCCTGTGGAGGAAAAGGCGGACGACACCGTCAGCTCCCACAGAGGGGCGAGCCCAACGCCGCCGCGGAAAAGATGAGAAGCCGGGCGCGCCAGGCGGGCCGCAGCCTTAGACGAAAAACTGATTTCCTGGAGCTGAAGAGCCTAAGGGTGGAGAAAAAGCAGAAGGTCTTTTAGTTGGCAGGAAAGCGTGTGTGTCGATTCCATGGGCAAATTCAACCCAACCTGGCGAAAATGATACTCCGTGTACTTACACGGGCAGCACCGGCACAGAGTGACACTCCGTCGCCCCGAGGTTCCCCGTGAAATCCGTTACCCGAGCGGCGCGAGCACCCTGAGGCGCGGCGCCCGCCTCGCACCTGCCCCGCGCGCCCCCGCGGCCGCGCGCCTTTCAGTCACGTCACAGAGCCCGCGGGAGAACGGAGGGGGAGGGGGCGGCCGGGGGGGGGCGGCACGTCCCCTCCTCCGGGAAGGCGCCCCGGCCCCGCCGCCGCGCTTCTGGCCGCCGGGTCCCGCGCCGCCGCGGGCGAGGAGCCGAGGAGACGCCGGGCCGGGCCGGCCCCGTGTCTTCCTCCGCGAAGCCTGCGGCTCGGGGCGCCCGCCTTTCGCCCGTTCTTGTAAATTTGCTTCTTACTCAGCCCTCGTGATGGCAAACACGCCCTGTGCGGGCCCGGCGCCCGCCCCGCGGCACAGGCAGCCAGAGCGTGGCCCGCGGCCCGGCCCGCGGGCGGGGCCGGGGCGGGGCGTCCTCCGGGCAGGGGCCGCGCCGGGCGGCCGGCAGGAGGCGGTAACGGCGGCGGCGGCGCGGGCGCAGCGGCGCGGGGATTGGCTGCGGCGGGCGGAGACGTCAGGCTCCCGCGGCCAGAGCGGCCGCCCGGCCCGGCGCGGCGCAGTCGGCTGGAGTGAGCTTCGCGGCGAGGAGTCGCCCGCCGTCCTCCCGCCTCCCGCCGCTGCCGCCGAGCCCCGCCGCTAGAGCCGGGACGCGCCTCCGCGCTCCGCGCCGCCTCCACCCCCGCGGCCGCCGCTCCGCCGGCCGTCGACGCCCACCATGACGAAGAAAGAGAAGAAGTCCTTCAGCCAGAGCCTGGCCGAGTGGAAGCTCTTCATCTACAACCCGACCACCCGCGAGTTCCTGGGGCGCACCGCCAAGAGCTGGGGTGAGCGGACGGCCGTTGGGCCCGGAACCCGCCGCGAGCCTCGGGGCGCCGGGCGGGTTCGGACGGGAAAGGAGGCGCGGAGGCGACTCCCCGCGCGGGGGCCTCGGCGCCAGCCCAGCCTCCGGCGCCCTTCGCGGGTCGCGCCCGGGCCGGCGACGGCGGAGCCCGGCCCCATTCATTGACCGCCGGCGGCCCTCGGCTCGCTCTCGCGGCGGCGGGGCCGGCGGGCGGTCCCGGGCCGGCTCCTTCCTCCCGGCCCCGAGCGGGGCGCACGTGCTGCCCGGGCCTGCCGCCCCGAGCGGCGCCGGAAGCCGGGGACCCCCGCTGGAGCCGAGCCGGGGGCGTGCGGGGGCCCGGCGCTCGGGCCTCCTTTTGTACGGGGCGCGCCGACCGGTGGAGGCCCCGGCGGAGCGCGGGGCGGTTCGGGGAAGCCAGCCCCGGCCCCACGCCTGGGGAGAGGAAATTTCCACTCCCGCCGCTATCTTGTGACTCGTCCCCGCCGCCTCCCGGACCGGTCGGAGGAGTGAGGGCGAGAGTCGAGCGTGTGGGTGCGCGGGTGCGCGCGGGGAGCGGGTCACACAGGAGCACACGCGAGTATGCTCGTGAATTTGGGCAGTGGAAAGACCTTTTAAAAGGCTGATTCATCTCTGATTCCTTTTTAATGACCAAGATTTTCTTCCAAATTCACTCCTTTGGGGAGCGTAAATCCTGCCTGGACAGCAGTTCGTGTGTCTTTCCAGAACATGTGATGGTTGTATATGTTAATAGTTTTTCTCTGCAGAGTTCTTTGTTTTTAAAGAAATGTCTAAACCATCCATCAGTGTCGTGCTGCTGTAGGGTGTCTTTTTTTTTCTTCTTCTTCTTCCCGAGAAGTTAATGTCGTAATAAAGACTTGTGCTCTTGCTTGTTTTCATACTTAAGCAAACTCATTTTACTCTTCTCTGCCCTTTGAAAAATATTTTGTTAGTGAGTCTCAGCAGACCTTTTTTCCTGAATGCATACATTTCTAGAAGAAGTGTATTCTAGAGAGCTACTTGGGCATGACATGTTGAGAAGCAGGAATCGAGTAAATTAGCTATAACTCAGAAAACTTGCTGCTGACTGAAATCAGCTCCTCCAGACTGGAAAGGCTTCTTTAATTGCTATCACAAGCTAAAAGGGGCCTTGGAGGTTTTTTAGCCCAACCCCCACACTAAAGATAAGAAAAATGAGACCCAAAGAGGTTGTGATTTTCGCTGTTTGGAAAATTACATATTCCTTAGAGCCAAGAAAAGGACACTTTTCTCCTTTAACCCTAGTGCAGCAGTTGTATTCTTCCACAGATGCCATGCCTAACTTGCATGGTAATTACAATTTTTATTGAAATAACTGTCTTTGGGGGAAGCCCCCCAATAGTGTGGTAAGGAAATCTTGCATCCGGAGTTAAAAGGAAGGAAATGGTGAATGATCATTGGGTTTTAGAATGTACTAACTTTGCTGAAATCTTTAAGTGGTAGAGAGGGATTTTTTTGTTACTTTTTCCTTCCATTCTTCCGAGGTGCTTTCTCCTTTCCAATATTCACCTTTCTTATTGCAGGCGATGTCTCTTCTCTAAACTTTGTATTATATGATGGAGGGGTAGAGATTTTATTTGGTATACACATTTAAATAACTTGTGCATAAGTTTTCAAAATATAGGGCATTTATATGAAGATAGTACAAGTGAAGTTGGGTTTAGTTTTAGGATTAAGATAATATCCTTTTTCAAAAATAAAAGTAAATATTAACAAATAGTGAATTTCTGTTTACTATATGAATGATAATAAGAAACCCATGCACAATGCCTTAAGTCCCTGAAAATTATTAATGATCTTATGCAAATGTAAAGGCATCCCTCCAAGAATATGCTGTGTGGGGGAATGATTAAGTGGAAACTGAAATCCATACTTAAAAACTCTGGGTATCCGAGAGCATGAGGGTCTACTGAAGAATTCTCAGAAAGGCAATGTGTGGACTGTTTGATTTTATCACCCTGGAGATACTCACTATTAACATTCCAGTGTATATCTTTGGGGGCAGACTTAAGAATGTGTACAACTTTTATGGTGTGATCTCTTTGAATGTAATACAGATGAATTTAATGGAATATTGAATTTGGTAAAATTGCGGAGTCTGTTAGTATGTAGAGAAAGGACTTTCTACCCCAAAGATTTTGTAAAGACATTTGTTTAAGATGTTTTCTGTTTCGTTTTGTTTTTTCATTCAAGTCTTTAGTTCATTTGCCCCATTCAGTGTGGCGGTTCCTTACCAAGTACAGTAGACATAGTAATACCACATATTTAAAAAACAATTTTGTAGTTGATATTTGGGATAGAGTAAAAAATATTGCATGTTATATCACATTCCTATTTGAAACCTTTTCTGTATAGCTAATTGTATATTTGACTAATATCTTAAACTTGGTGGAACAATTTCAGAATGCTTACATTCATATATAATCACTTCGTTTGATTTTCACAACCTTCTAAAGCACACTAGCAATGGAAGCATACCTAGAATCCTTCTCAAACAATAAGGACACATTGGGAATAAGTAGTGTCATTTATGAAAACACAGGAGAAAGAAGACTTAGCACCCTGTGGCTGCAAATATTAAACTAAATGCATTAAATACAGTTAAAGTGAAAATACTGAACTAGATTATAGAGGCCATTTAGTGTTATTTCAACTCTAAGTAGTGGGGTCTTGTGTTTTAGTTGCGATTTTTAAAAATAATGAATAGTAAAAATATCAAAGTTTTTAATATTGAGTTTTTTCTAAGGAAAGACATTTCATGAAACCTCTATTATTCGTGTGTATACATGGATATACAGATATCCTAATGTAAAATGTATTTCTTAACTATGGTTCACAGCACGCCCCCCCCAAAAAAAAAAACTTAAAAGTCACTAATTTAGCCCAGTGTTTCACTTCATAGGTGAGAGCATGGAACCCTCTGTTGTGATTATCAAAATTCACTCACTTAGTGATAGAATCCTTGAGCCTTTAGACTCTCTCCAAGGTCTCATTGGAATTCATTATCTTGGAGTTATCTGTCAAATGCTTTTTAAATGAAACTAGTTGCTGATTTGCAAGCATCTACAGGATTCTGAACCAGCACCATTAATACCTAACATTTCATTCATGTTCCTTTTCTTCTAGCCTATGAAATGCATTTTCTTAGTCTCCTACTGGTGTTCTGCATCATACCTCAGTAAATACACTGCTTTGCAGCTCAGACTCCATCCTTGGGTGTCTGGCTGTAGAGGAGGAGGCAGGTGTATTTATTCTCCCAGTATCACATGATTTTGTAAGGGGCTTTTCTTTGTCCTGTGGAATGTGACATATTAAAAAAAACTTTACACAGGGCCTCCCTGGTGGCGCAGGCAGTTGAGCGCCGCACTGTGAGGCTGTCCGCAGCCTCTGCATCGCGGGTTCAATCCTGGCCAGCTGACCGGCAAGAATCTCACATGGTGAAGCAGATCTTGCCTGTCTCGCCCACTGCTCCCCTCAGCAGTGTATTTAGGTTCTTGTATACAAATAAATAAATCTTTAAAAAAAAAAAACAACTTCACACAAATGTGCACCTTTGGGAAAATAACAGAACTTGCCTGGCCCTTTGTGCCATCTGTAAATAAAGGTCTGGTGGGGTGGTCGTGCCATCACACAGCAGGAGACCATTTCCTGAACTGATGGTAGTGGAAGGACAGACAGGGGTAAGATTATGTTGTATTTCAGATACTACTGTAATTATGGTAGCTTGTGCTTTACTATTGTTAAAGAACACCCTTCTCCCACCCCCAAAATAATTTGATTCCTTTCAAATTGATTTTTGACTTTATAGAACTAAATTACATGTATTTAGAAGTTTAAAATTCCTGTCTTTATTACTTTTCCATGATTTTGCACTTTTCATTAAGGACTGATTGTAATGGAAAAACAACTTTGAAAGATAAAAGTATTTTTTTTAAAGATTTATTTATTTGTTTGTTTGTTTATACAAGAACCTGGGTATAGGCCAGATGTGCGGGAGGGTGAGAAGATTCACCAGAGACAGAGCAGGGAACAGAACAGGCAAACTGAAGAAATACACTGCTGAGGGGAGCAGCGGGCGTGCCAGGAGAGGTCTGCCTCGCCAAGATAAAAGTATTTTTTAATTAATGCGCTTATTACATTGATTTTTGACATAAATTGCCTGTAGTCTTTAACTGCTCACTGTTAATATTTGATAGTCTTTTTCCTGAGTGTAAAGAAAATGTTTTTAATGTATAAGCAAAATGTTAAAGCATACAGTTAGATACCAGATTTATCACTTAACGTTTAAGGAGAATGTTTCTTATTCCTCTGCCACCTTCTTAGAAGTTGATATATTGGGGGTGTTCGTGGCCATCTACCTCACCTCTGGGAACTGTCCATGCTTCCTGTAAGAATTTATTCTGGTGGCTTCCGTTACTGTCTCTGTTGGGGCTTCCAAATCTATCACTCGTCCACATTGCCTTTATATATTTATTTTTTTTAAACCAACTGTATAAATCTTCAGTTGGGTGTTTCATAGGCACTTGGAAATCTCCATTGTCCTCAGGAGCTCCTTAGCATAATGTAGCTACTCTTTATAATCTCACTGGTTTATTTCCCTCCTATCATCTGCTCTACCAAGCCACAGTTTTCTCCTACCCCCTTTGTCCCTATTTCCTCACGTATAAACCTCTTTCTTTACCTTGCTGTGTCTGCTCACTTGTCAACTAAGCTTGCTTGATAGCTAGTAAACATCTTTGAACCATTTCTTTGTCTTAGGCTGGAGTGATTAAATGCTCCTATGTATCCCATAATACCTTCTGTTCTTAAAGCATTTATGATTTTATACAGTGTTGTTGCTGCCCATTTACTACACTATAAACTTGTTTGTGTCTTACTCATCTCTGATTCCCTAACACCTAACCTGTTGCCTGGCAATAAGTAGGAATGAAATAAAAGTCATTTGAA